ACCAACTCCGTAGCGATGCGCAAACAAGCACGAAACATGCTGTCCATACTGCGGATTTGCCGGAAGAAATGTGAAAGATTTGGAGGTGGCAGCCTCCATTAGGCACGCGGTCTTTGCACAGAATGTTTAATGCCGGCCGACGGACCTAACTTAGATTCAATCTGTCGCCTGTGCTGCTGCCGCTTCCTCTGCTACAGCGAGGGACTGCGCAAAAGCCGCGTCCAACCTAAATCATGCCAGGACGTGCTTGAACGACTGTGGCATACTCTAAGCATTAGCACGATTCTACAACTCATGTGTTTGGAGCCACGCGACTCCAAGATGTGAATTGGAAACTGACAGACAGGCTTAGGCTAATAAGGGGCACGGTGGCTCTTGCTCGAGATTATGGTTATGGGGTGGAGAATGGTTATCAACGATTTCATAAACTAGTTCGACCGTCAGGACCGGCAAACTCACAGATCACGAAATCACTCTGCCTGATGTTTGCAGGAATCTTCCTCCAGAATCAACAGAATAAACTCACGTGGCCCACCTTGAGGCAGACTCTAAAATCCTCCGAGATGCTCGTCCCTTTGCAGAACTTCAGCTGCCAGCGCTGGCTCCAAACACTCGCGCAGGCGCTCCACCCACCTGTGAGTGCCAATTAGCCGTTTGCCTCTGCGCATCGCGAAGCCCGATTGGCTTGAGCCGAGACTCTGGTAGATGCAGCCTTCGCCTTCTTCTGGCGGCTGCCAGTTCTCAACCAACTCCGCGACGGCTTCCGTCGCAGCATGTCGCAGGCCCTGCGAGGCTCCTGGAGACGGAGCTCGCAGACCGAGGCTCCGAACAGAAGCAGCAGCAGGCACCTTCGCAATCGAATAGTGGCACCGGTGGCTCGCCCGAGCGAGGATAGCCAGCCTGCATCTAACTGCATAATGTCTTACTTGCTCGCGCAATTCTGGCCAAAGGTGACACAAAATGCGAACACGTGGCTGGGAGCAAGAAACGAACGGCCGCCGCAGGAGCACCCGCAGCACCGGGCAAAACAATCCTGTCGCACGGGTACCGAAACTGATGAACATGCAGGAGCCGAAGAAGTACCATCAGAAGAATTCTGAGCCCACCCGTCCGAATCCAAGCCCTGCGTACGTACTTACCCCAGCAGCGTGCGTAGAGTGTGTCCTCCATTCATTGGGGCCCAGAATTTCAAACTCGTTGCCGTAGATCGCTTCCAAGACAGATCGCTCATCCTCGGCACCTTCCGACAGGTGGTCATTCGAAAGCATCAAACCGAGTTCGGCAGCTAGGCATGTCTGAAGCACTTGCAGAATTATTGTTTGCTTGTTTGCATGAAACATCTTGGACATGTTGGAAATCGGCGTGCCTGGATCTAGCTCCACGTCGTGATCGACCTGATAGGTCCTGTCGCTTTGCTCTTCAGGCCCTCTCCTCACCAAGGGATGCGCTTTTGTCCGTCGGCCGAAACGGAGCTTCAGCAACAGCTGAAGTCTACATGAAATGTTGAGATGTACTTACTCGGGCTCCTTCGCGGAACATCTCTCGCGGCATATCCCTCAGACTTTGCTGTCTGTGGTTTGGTGTCGAAATGATCGAGTCTTCTCAGATCACTGCAGCTTGGCAGCATCAGTTTTCTGGCGGAGATCGGGCTTGTCGGACTGCGGCATGGAACGAGGCCGTTCTTGCGCTTGCTCTGGCGCTGCTGCCCAGGAGGCTTGGTTCTCCCAGGACTGTTGTTTCCTGACAGCCCGCGGAGATAACGCGAAACCCCCCCCCCCTGCTGCCCCTTCCACTCGCCTCTGCTTTTGAGAAAGCCGACTGCGATGCCGCGGTTCGTGTGGTGGGTCTACCGGCCGATGAAAAAGCTGCTCCAGTTGCACGGGCACAGCGCGCTCGGGCTCTGCCGTTTCGGCCGGAGGTGCTCTCGCAGGAGGCAGTTCGCCCCAGAATCCTGGATATCATGATGTCATCGCAATAGCTTAGCTGCTCTGCGACCCACTCCTTCTCTCTCGCTTGCTTGCTTGCTTGCAAGGCGTGTGGGAGGTAGGGAAGGCCCCTACACCCCCTGCGCGCGAGCGCTACGCCACTGTTCGTGTCTTGTGTGAGACTTAGCGATGTGGCTTGGCCAGGTGGGGTCCCAGCTCAACACCCAAACACTTAGTTCAAAACATGTCCCCGCCTGGCCGTGCACGCTTGAGTCGGTACGTGTTATCCGTAGGTTTTCTACGGCGAGTCTACCTGTGTCCCGAGCCGGCCACCGAACGAGTACCGAGGCCCCTACAACATGCAAGCTGGGTTCCCTAGTGTTACAAGGTAGGCCGTCTTCAGCTCTGGACACTGCATCGAACTCTTTGTGGTGCTGGTTTGGTGGATCCTATGTTGCTTGGGGTAGTGCGGGTCCCCGGGAGAAGCAGCGTAAGGGGAAAAAGCATCAACACACTAGGGGAAGACACACAGTTTTGGTCCCCGCACTGGTGGTAGTGGTGGTGCTGTGGCGGGGCTCCGGTATTGTCAGGGTAGGAAGCAAAGGGGGTACCAGGTTAAGGCCACAGTAGGGGAACGCCACACACTCTCGCTCTCGCTCTCTCTGTCTTGCTTGCTTGCTCGGTTATAAGTGTCCTTGTCCTGTTGGGTCGGTGTGACCTTGTCTCTCTCTCTCTCTCTCTCTCGTCCTTCCTTCCTTCCGTTGGGTATGGGTCCCGGACCCGCACCTAGGTGCCCCCCTCCCCTTCTAGTTGGTGTGCGGTAGTCGCTGTATACCCCGACCCTGTGCACTAACGCGCATCCCGGCCTGCCGCGCCCTCTAAGGCAAAGTCCTAAGTTTCCTGCGGCCACCGCTTTTCCCACAAGGCGCCTCATTTGCGTGGGGCTTGCTTGACAGGACATGAGGCACGAAGCGACCAGCGATAAGTTGTCAAACACACGAGTCTTGTCATTGCCATTTGGGGGGGACAAACCTGCATCGAAACGGTCTTTGCCTGCTCTTTCTCACGGAACAATGGATACTTCAATGTAGGACAGAAATCACAACTTGTTGTCAGGCAACAGTAGTTCTGTCGAGATGTGTCGAAGCTGCGCTGTATGGTGGGACTCTCGGAAACAATAAAAATGCACAAGCGATACGTTGCGTGGCGAGTCCCCTTCCATCGCCTCTCTTACTCAGACAGAGGAAGGTGCACACCCCTCGCGCGCACGCGTGCGCGCACTGGTTCTGTCTGTGATGCTTGCTTGCGAACTGAGCAAGGCGCCGATCGGTTCCGGTAGAACCCCCCCACCCTGTACTAGTATGCCTGGCGTGTGGGGTTGCAGGGGCAAGCCCTACCCCCCCGGCACGCGAGGGCTACGCCTGTGTCCGAGTCTCATAGTATATATATATATATATATATATCTCTCTCTCTCTCTCTCTGGATCACGTTGACTTCTTGGTCACTGATATGGCCAATTAGCCATGTCGAAGAAGGGTTCAGCAGCTCACTGGAGTACTCAGCTTGCAAACGAAGGAGCGCATGCACGATGTGTGACCTACAATCTTGGGTCGATGATCCTCGTTTGCCCCACTTTCTTTCACTTTGGCTTGTCATCCATGCCAACATCATAATAACGTCCATGCTACTAACCTGTCCATTGGCTCGTGTATCCACGCCCAAATCATGACAACGTCCATGCAGCTGTTCAGTCAGACTGATATTCTGCTTGAGGGGTGAGAGAACACACTCTGTTAAACTCAATCCGCGCAGAAATATCGTTCTTGTGTTGGCGCTTTGCTCCGCATAGTATCATGACGGTAACGCCATGTTAAAGTATGCTTTAACATGTGAAAGTATCGGCCCCCCATGCTCTTCCAGCACTGTCCGCAAACAAACTGGTGCAAACCAGTGCTATCCGCCCACTATCTTGACAATCGGGAGCCACACCTCAAGAACCTCGACAGCGCCAACTTCGAATCCGTGCTTGCCTTCAACCCACCAGGCCTTCATCGTCACTGTCATCCCCTGGCACGGAGATGTCTGCCTGGCCAGTCCTTTGCTGCCATGTATCGCCATATCAAACTGTTGCTGACCCTAGTCGATCTGGGGGACGGCGCTGCGGTCGCATCGTCAGTGCCGGCTTCCGGATGGGACACGGCAGTTTTGTTCCAGCGGCCACGGCGCGGCTCCATGAACCCGGTGTGGCTCCATGCGGATGTCAGTTGAACATGCGATCAGTCGGGTGTGCTTCCACAGCTGCTGCTGTTGTTGCAAGCACTGGAGCTGCGCTTATTGATACTGGGTTAGGTTAAAGCGACGAGAATTGAAATCTTGCATGGGGTTCACTTTGTGGGCCGATGCATGATTCGCAGAATCACGGTCGCAAGCGGCAAGCTGATGCAACCTTGAAGCGTCAAGGCATTCACAAGCAGGCCTCCCTGGTCGTGCTGCATCTCCTGCTCTCCATGCATTGTGTGGCATAGCCTGTGTCAGTGCAATGCGCTGGTGCCGCGTGGTGTCGAGGACACCGAACGACTACTGCGAGGTCTCACAGGGCCGGAACCGTAGTCCGGCGGCCCAAGACTCAAAGTATTGACGAACGAATGCCATGACATTCGTTTTTAGCAAACACGTGCACGGCATACGACACACGCCAGTGTGCTGGAACCAATGACCTGCGCTTTGAATGTACAGAGGCCAAGCCATCCAGTGCGAAAGCAACGACGTGACCCTCTTATCGTTGATGTTGCTGGGTGTTGAGAAAGCTTTGTGGTGGGCAGGCCTGGCCGATCGAACGGAAGTCTGCCGCATCTGATGCTTGTCTCGTTGCTTCTGCTGTGCTTGCCTTCGTATCTGCATGACGGCTGCTGTGGGTCTTGACATGTAGTAAATACTGACAGTCACTTGTTGTAGGCACCACCATCGTGCGTCTGGTGCGGTGCTCAGCAGAAAGCTCAAAAGGCTGCGCAGTCGGCTGCGGCGCTGGAAGCATTTCGCGGCTGGGCTCTGCAAACTCATCCGTCTCATCCATGCCTCCCCTGTGGCGGAGAGTGCCGGAGTCGTCGCGGAGCCTCGGAGCACACGGACTTTCGGAAACAGGAACTTCGGAAAATCTCGCATGGTGAGCTCGGCATAGACAGAGACCCGGTTGTGGTGATTCAGCGACATTAAGGGGTCACTCGCGCAACTCTAAGTGATGATGGGCGAGTGACTACCAACATGCTGCAGTCTACCTTCAAGACTGCAGCAGCTCGGTCTGTAGCTGACGTCCAGCTCAAGCTGTTCAAGGCGCTCTTGATTTTACAATCCATTCTCGAAGACTTCTTCGAAATCCGTCGCTGCCCCTGCTCGCCAAACCAACCTAGGTGGCGCACGCTCAGGGCAAGCAACGTATTGCTGTCTCCTCTTGACGGAGGAATCCAAGGAACTCCTCATCTCCTTGGACGACGTAATCCTGAACGAGAGACTTGCGCAAACACTGCTTGCAGGAGCAGATGCGAGCGCTTGGCCTTTTGGAAGGACTTGGACCTGGAAGCATCGGACAGGATTCCATTGGCTCGAAATGTAGAAGTCATGTACTTACGCTCCCTAATTGACATTCATTTCCGAGTATCTCTCGCTCGCGTCATAGCATCGCTACAATAGCCACATGCCGCGACATGCCTTGTTGCGATCGAAGCGGCAGCTCGACTTCGGCCACTCGCGGTGCCTCGAGCTCTGCCTCCTTCTCGTCTGGAGGCCTGCGCAGCTTTGGAGCGAGGCCGGGAGTCAAGAACCAAAGCAGGGACCCTTTCGGTATTTTTCGGTGAACTGCCCTCGCACCAACCTGGAGAGCCCAGCAAGCTCTTCCTGGCGTTTGGCCATCTGCAAACCTGGAACAGAAGGCTACATGCACTCGATTCAGGCTCGCCGACGTTAAAGCTGCTGGTAATTTTCGCTCCCGTCGAGCAGAGCCAAACTGGTTGAAATCAAGGCAAGGCCTGTGGCAAAATCCGACACATGCTTGGCCCAGACGTGGCTCCACCTTAAACGCAACAAGCATGGGCAGCCAAGCATCCGTGAACTCGAATTGGTTTGATTATCCATCTATGCGGGAATCTTATAGACCCGCAGAATGCAAATACTGCCTTGGATGGGGCAAGCGAGTAGCGTCCGTGGGCCCTCCAAACTCGCCGCTGCGACCAGCGAAACGGCCTCCTCCTTGCATGAAGTCAAGCCTGCAGAATTTGCGGGTATACCCTGGGACAACCTCGGAAGATAATCCGAACTGTCTAAGCTCTGAGCGTCGCAGATATTCAGCAGAGGTCGGAGGAGGAGACATATGCAACATGAGGTCAAAGCCTAGCAGCGCAGAAAACAGTCACGTGAGGCTTGGCACTTGCATCTTGGGACGGTGGCTCCCTTGCAAACCGTGTGAGCTGCGAACTGGCGGACGACCGCCACCGCTCAGTGTTGTGCACAATGCAGAGCCTCGCCAGCAAGCCATGATTCCTCCTTTTCCTAGTTACAGATGCCGTTTGCACTTGCGCACCTCTCAGATGCAAGCGCTTGCACCGCAACGACTCTGCGCAATTCGTCTTGAAGAACCGATATCTCGCTCGTGAAAACCAGGATGCTTTGCCTGAGGGAAGATACAGGCTTCTACTACAGACAGACACTCCGAAAACCTTTGCCAAAAGACACGGACAGTGACCCCCGGTGACATGTGTTCGAGCAGGGCCGTGGATTCAACCTCTCACCTTCTGTCGACTGCTGCGAGCCTGGTGTGCCTCTCCGCGATCAATGCAGCCGCTTCTTTGGCATTGTCTGCATTGACTATCCGCATGCAGATGCGGGCCTGGTTAAAGCTGGATGCATTGCCGCGTGCAAACAGCATTACTGAGAGCATGGCCCCCCTCACGCCGTTTGCCAGCTGCCTGATGCAATCAATACTTCATCAACACAGCTGAAGCGCTCAGCAGCCACAGGACTGCGCAAGCTACTGGAGGCAAGATGCAACCGGGCGGGGGCATCGACCAAGGCAGTCTCTGCCGCTGCGTTCGTGGCCGGCAAGGTCTCCCGATGGAAGAGGTAGCTCGGTCCCCATCGTCCTGGGTGCGTTGTCCCGTTCGTTCTTCGTTTCTCTCTCTTGCTTGCTTGCTGCGGGTCAACGGACAGCGAGCTGGACCCGCGCCGTGACGCCCCCCACCCTCTTTGGTTTCAGAGAGCAAAGAGGCATTGGGGCACGGTGGATTGCTGTTCAATCCTTTGGTCTGTACGAATGGTGGTGTATGGTTGCTGCAACCCCCACTCTTTTTTCTTTCGCCAGGGCTATGGTGTGGGGGTTGCCCCCTCTTGCGTGCACTCGGACAAGAGGGGAGATCCCCTCCGCGCACACGCGCGCACCGGATCCGCAGGTCTGGGTGAAAACTGCTGCCGGATTGAGGCGCCGTTCGTCAAACCGTGCAATCCCCCCTTTACACTACCTAAGACATCCCCAACAGGCCTCGTCTGTGCTCCGGCTTCTCAGGGCTCTGCTCTGTTAGCCGAGTGCCCGACTTAATTGGGCTGCCCCTTCCGGGTAGTCAAAAGGAAAAGGAGCCGTCACCCTTCCGTTTTTCTCACACTATGAAACTACTAACTACTCACAGCTGTGCGTGTCACGTATTGCGTTGGTCCTTCCCCCCACTGTCCCACTGTAACAGGCTACACATCTGTCACTTGTCAAAAAGAGAGAAACTCAAGGGTTTTTTCCCCCGGTCGCAACACTGCCGTTCACTACCTCCTCAGCTCTCGTACTTCTTCTATCTCGGCAGCGGTGGCTTTTCCGGGACTCCTCCTGCTGGGTGTGTCCGGACTTGGCTACCGCCAGCAGCGTGTCCTCCCCCCGCTGTCTTGGCGTCCTCGCTTCTCGCTAGTTGGAGCACCGTCTGCGACAGCGAGGTGCGCAGTTCCCCCCCAAGCTGGCTTGCCGGTCTCGACGAGGACTTTGACTGCCCCCTCTTCGGCAGTGTAACTTGGAGACTCCGAGCTTGGTGGGAGCTGCTCTCGCTTTGCACTGTCACTTTCTGCGGCTTCCTTTCCTGCGCCCACTTTTGGTCTGCTTTGTAGGCCCTCACGTCTGCTTCCCCCGGGTCAAAGGGTTCGACCTCCACTGTTTGCTCCAGCGCTTCTGCGTCCAGGTAGTTGATGACCCGCTGCAAAAAGTCCGCGTCGGCGAGCGTGGGTTGCTTCTCTCCCCCCACTTGGCATTCTTGGTCTCAGAGGGTGCACTGGCTTGTACCTTCCACACGGCTCGTAACTCGTCTGCTGTGAGAGGTCCCCAAAGGCTGCGTTCACTGCTTCATCTTCTAGCCATTGGGGGTGGCGAGCTCCCCCAGCTTTGAGTTCCTCATCGCCTGCCAGCATTTCTGGCGTCATCCGCACAGCCATGTTCCCCTTCCAAGCTGCTTCTCTCTCAGAATCACTGTTTTCTGGGTCTTCCTTCAGGCCGTTGCTCCCCCCTCTGTTGGCACAGGCCTTCTTCTGGTAGCAGAGGCGTAACCGGTGCTGCTTCTCCTGGGTCGGCAGCTACCTGCGGATGTAGTTCTCCTGCTGTGGTGGAGTCCCCCGGCTTCTCGAGGAGTTTCACCTCTCTCTCTCTCTCTGTCTCTCTCCGTCGCCTTTTGTCTAAGAGATTTGGGCCGTTTGGAGTTTCCATCGAGGAGGAAACCTCTCCCTTTCAAGGTTTGCTCCCGCCCCAGCACGCAAGCGCGCCCAGTCTGGGCAACTCCGGAAATCCACGCAACAGTGCAAAAAACTGCGCCACAATCAGCAGGCTTCACACTTGAAGGCTCAATGAAAAGCCTTCGCAACTCGGAGCGCACGTAGTTGCTAACCCAGCCGCGACCCCGCCGCATGTTACTGTCGGGGTTTCGGCGTTGAACTTCAGCCTGAATCCATTGAAGAACCCGAAGAGCTCGACGAGGATTAGCTAGAAGTACATCGGGACTGCAAGGGACAGTCTTCAGTCGGTCTGTGCAAGTCAGAATCGTTGGAAGAACACGTTCTTCTCCGTCACGACCAAAAGCTTCACGCTCAGCATGGGTAAATCCCACGCATGGAACGATGCGCTCAGCTGTAAGGTCGCGTTCAAACTCGTAGCCATCAGCAGCTACCAGAATCTCCGCTGTGCCAACGTGGTTAAGACCGACGAAGCCATGGCGTGGAACACCGGTGTGGCTAAGGTACCAAGCCACCGGGGGCCCGAGGGAGGGCCGGTGAGATGCGAGCCATTGTCACCGTACTTGTGACAGATGACGCCAGCAGCATCAGCAGTAGGGCAGCAGCAGCAGCAAAGCAAGCAGCACCTGACCAGGAAACGAGGGGAAAAGGCGAGAGGAAGGCCGCCCCTCTGCTACTGTCGGGCCACCCTTTGTGCCGTCACCAAGTTTCCCCCGTTGAGCAGCCGGAGGTCCCCACAAGGGTGACGAACACGGGCCAGGGTCAGAGAAGGTCTTGCCCTCGTGAGCCTGAACACTTCGGCGAAGCCCCCCACCAGGTTCCCCGGGTGACAGCCGGGTTCACACAAAGGTGAGAGACTTGACCCAAAATGGCTACGGCTCTGTTTCTCTCTCTCTTTGCTTTGCTTTGCTCGGGGTTTGAGGCAGGAGCAGTCCTCCCTCCCTCTTTCTCTCTCTCTCTCTCTCTCTTTCTTTCTCCGGGCCTGAGGGCGAGCCCCCGCGGGAGCCGCCCGTCTGTTGAGGAGTGCATGTGTAATGCACGCGGAAATGCTAGCTCTCCTCGGCGACTCCTGGTATTATCGTACCCCGTAATGTCCCAAGGTAAAACTAGCTGCAGTTACGGTCGCCCCGTTGCCATCTGTACAGCGTGAGTTTTTCCACGTGTGCCCCGGTGCTCGGGGTGGCACTCTGAGGAGGCTGTCTACTAGAGTGTGCCTCTGAGTTTACTGCCGACTGCCATCTGCTACCTGCTCAGACCCCCGAAGTATGTACCTCTCTGGGCTCCACTCTTGGTTGTGGGCTCTGTGGCCCCGCCAAGCAGAAGCGACTATGCCCCGTCTTTCTGTCACACAACGGAATGGGAGTATGGT